TCGCATAATTGTCTGGTTATCCAATTTTAGGCCAAATGCGTGCCAACTGACAGTATATGACGTACGTGACGGTATGCCGTACATAGGCTATATATAATAGGAGCCTACAGTTGAACCTTTTGAATATTGCAATGACACTGTCCAACACGCACACCGTCTTAGACAACTTCAAGTGACTGGAGCAGACATAGGCGGTTCGGGGCTGCACACTTTCATTTAAGTATTTGAGTATTGATGACAGTCATAATTACAGCCTTTTTAACACTGTAGTTGTTACTAAAGTTTTTTTATTCTCCACTTTCAAATCGAGGGTGTAGAGATAGTCCCTCTAAAATGTCAATTCAGCTTGTGTTGTTCAATAGGCTGTTTCTTCCTTTTTGTATGATTCAAATCAAAGCAAATTCTAATTACTCTGTAAAATTTCAACAATGAGTGTTCTTTCGTTAAAAACAAGTGAAAATTAAAATTCAGTTCATACAATCAATCAATCATTAGTTTACTCTTTTGGAGAGTGTCAGTAATAACTTCCATCACGCAGGGCACAGTCGAGGTCTGTGAGAAACTGGGCCTATGACAAACTGAGCCTGTGACAAACTGGCATGCTTCCTAAGCGGTTTCGGGCAGGGGCGGCTTGTGGGTCTAAAACGTGGGCATGCACAATTAAGCTATCGCAGGTTGAAGATAGTTAAGGGCATAGTAAATGGGATGACATATAGTTTTAGTATCGTTGGGTTGGTGAGGACCTAATGATTTTACTTTAATTTTTTCTATTTGTCACTTTGATCTCTAACACTACATATTATTGCTAGCTTTAAAAACCAATTCCGTTCATCTTGCTTTGGAACTGAACGCTCTAGGCTAGTAATAACACTTTGACCCCTCCACAAAAACATCGTTCAAAGGCACCACTCAACAGACGGTGACCTATTGAACTAACTCTACGTTCACCCCTTCAAGTTCACGGCCACAGAGTCGGGGCAGGGCCTAAATTTTGAAAATAGTGACAAGACAACGAACCAATCACAATTCACTTTAGCACTCTGATGGATTGCCCCGGGGCTCACATTTTATGGGCATTTTATTATTATAGTGAGCTGCAAAAACAAGATTCAGCCAAATTATGTACAACTTATGTCATGAGCTCTCATATGACCTTATGCCGTAAAACACTTACCCAAAAAAAAAAAAAAAAAAAAAGAAAATATTGAATAGTTTGTGGAAAAAATATAATGTCAATAA